AGATCAACACTTACATTCTTTGCTTTTAGCATTATTTTCAAAATGACCTTATTCTTGATACTAATTCATGAGGTTAAATTGCTAATCCATAAAATGAAGTTAGGAATGCAACATATGAAATGAAATATGCAAGAAGACAAACATTTTAAGACATGGTTAGGACTTAAGAGGAATCTTTAGCCTATAAATTTTTTAATTAAAATTATGATAGCAATCCTAATTGCAATCATAACTATGATTACTCTTTTATTTAAGTCCTTTTTATTATGAAATAAAGTTTAAAATATTGTTAATGTAACTCGAAATATGAGTGTTTGAAGTACAGTCTTGTTATTAATATAGTTATTATGTTATGTCTGATTGTGAAAGATCTTGTTAATGCTGAAAAACATGTTTGAAAACTTGCATATTGAAAGCCACATGCAATTAAAGAAATGAAAATAAATATGTATATTCTCAAACATTTAATATCAAAACTCTTGAGATCTTTTAAAAAATATGCATAATGAATATACTACAACTCACCGCTTATGCGATGTTTCCAAACTTAAGGTGTTGAAAAAAATATAACATCTCCGCTTAAATTAGAAAATAAGAATATTCATGCTATAGTCTTATAATGCAAAATGGCATCTCCACTTAATTGAACTCTAGAACATAGACAATAATGAAACCAAATATTCAAGCAAGGTTTAATTCAAATAAACTTCAATGAAATCAATATAATATAAGATTACAATTTATGTTATGGGTTTTATAATTTAAGTAAAGAAAGTCAAATATGTTACATGTTTCACTATACTTAATACTAGTGATATACAAAATAAAAAAACTTGTTATTGAAAATGTAAAATGAAACACAATATCCAACTAAGAAAGGTGCTAATGACACACTATAGGGAGAATGATTAGCTAAATTATTTTCCTCCACGTATGCATATTCCTATATGTAACCAATAATTGTTTCCCAAAGATGATGATCCTGTATTTCTAGCATGGCCTGCCTCTTTTGAGATATTGATGTCAGGTTCTGGAAGCTAATAGTGGGCTTCCTTAAGTCTCTCTAGCTTTGTTCTTACCACTCCTTTTTTATGCTAAGTCATCCTTAAACTCACACAATGCTTGGCTAAAGAGCAAAGCTAGAGAGAGAAAATGGGAAAGCTTCACTATTATGAGAAAACTTCCTACATGAAGACTTTTTTAGGAGTTGGACGAATTAGGGGAGAAGCGGGAGATTGGAGAGTTGGTTATAAATGAAGGGGGAGGGTCCTATTTATAGTTGTCCTCATATGCTTAAGAATATTCTAGAGTTCCCTCCAAAATACAGGAGTGTGAAGTTCTCTAGAATACTCCACATCATTATTCCCTATTCTTACAATACTTATATTATATATTCTAGAGAGTTCTAGAGTATCATATAATACTCTCCAAGTATCCAAACCATTTTAGAACATTCTAGAGTATTCTAAAATCTTCTGAAAAAACTCAAAGTCTTTACATAACCTTCCAGGACCTTCCAAAATCTTATGGAATCTTTCAGAGCCTTTTAGAAGCTTTTATAACCTTCCATGTTCTTCCAGAACCTTTCAATGATATGTGACTCCATTTAGAAATGGTTCTGACTTTTTGTCCCTAACTCGACATATCACGCCCAAGGGGTTTGGCCAAACCTTTAGGTCAAACATTTGAGTGTGACACTCTCCCCCGCCTATTCTCACAATGTCTCATTGCGAGCCTTCCAGAATCCATGTCGAAGGTCCTTGGATTGCCACATATCCATCCTGTATATTTGGCTCCATCGGTCCTTTGCCTTTTCCTCATGATTGGATTCATCTTCACCTGCTGGAGCATTAAGTACTTGGGACCTTGGGTTGGCTTCCTCGTCCACAGTTTGTGCATCAAGGACTTGGGATCTTGCCTTCTATATTGGTGCCTCCTCGTGCTACTCCTCTGGCAAGACATTAGAAGGAACTTCAAAGACTTCTGTCATCCATGCTGGCAAGCCTTCATCGTGTGCCTTTAAATCACCTCCTTGAGTTAGATGGCCATCCCCAACCCTTAGAATGTCTTCCAATACTTGCAACTCATCGCCGTTTGGAGTTGTCTCCCTTTTGTTCTTGATCCCATATCATCCGCGTAGCATCCACCTGATCACCACTCTCACCATTCATCACCCCTTGACGCTTGGCTTCGAGCATTGAGGCTATCTTAGGACAATGTCTTGCCCAATAAGGTCCTACACAAACAAAGCATATATTATGAATCCTTCTTCGCTCCTTGGCTTGCTCATCCCATTTTCCATTGCCCCACGCGATGTCCTAGTAAGCCTCCTCCTTACCTTGTCCAATTTGCCTCTCTTGTTGCTCTAGCCCAGACACATTGTGTTCTTCCCATTAGCAATTGTGGCCAGTAGTGGTAGCTCTGCCAAGGCATGACTACAATCTTTATGTAGGTCCCTAACTCGAGTTAGCATCAAGTTGAGCTCCCTCTTGAGTTCTTCATGCACTGTCACCTTATTCATCAAGGATTTATAAGTTGAGACACCCTGTCTCTTCTCGCAGCCTGGATGGTGGAACCTCTTTTCACTAGGTTACTCCCATCTTCACCTTTGTGATCCATCTTGGCCCCTATGTCATTTGCAACCTCTATCCGTCGAGGTACATGTATACTGAAACTATAGATCCTCTCTTTGGACTTCCCCCATGGCTTGGATGTTAGATCACGCCGCTCATCCATTCCTTGACTTCCCCTTGAAGACCCCACACTTTCCATACCAACCTTGCCTCCTCTTGGCCTTGTGTCTTGCCCTGGGATTGAACCTGCTCTAATGCCACTTGTCATCGAGAGACATTCCTTAAATCTCCCGTGCGGCCTTAACATTCCTTCATTGTACTAAATCAACCTTAAACTCACACAATGCTTCGTAAACGAGCAAAGCTAGAGAGAGTAAATGGGAAAGCTTCATTATTATTAGAAAACTTCTTATAATAGTAGGAGTTTTTGAGGAGTTGGAGGGATTAGGAGAGATGTGGGAGATTGGGGAGTTTGTTACAAATGAAGGGAAAGGGGTCCTATTTATAGCCCTCCTCCCATTCCTAAGAATATTCTAGAGTTCCCTCAAAAGTACATGAGTGTGGGGTTCTTTAGAATACTCCTCATCTTTCTCTATCCTTACAATACTTATATTACAATATTCTGGAGAGTTCTAGAGTGTCCTATAATACTCTCCAAGTATCCACACCATTCTAGAACATTCTAGAGTACTCTAGAATCTTCTAGACAACTCTAGGCTTTCTAGAACCTTCCAAGATATTTTGGAATCTTTCAAAATCTTCTAGAATATTCTAGAACCTTCAATATTCTTCCAGAACCTTTCAATGTCATGTGACCCCATTTAGGAATGGTTCTAAAGGACTTTTGTGGCCTCAACTCGACATGTCACACCCAAGGAGTATGGCCAAACCTCTAGGTCAAACATTTGGGTGTGACTCTAAGCTATGTTGCGGCCTTGTAAGCGGAATTAACATCCTAGAAGAGTGACCAAATGGTATTCATGTCAAGTTTGTGATGCATAGCTTGACATGAATTGTATCGTTCAACCCACAAATATAACAAGCTACTAGTATTTTGGTCTGGCTTTGATTGCCCCAAGCGCCAAGTCAATGAAACTCCTCAGTGCATGTGCTAAAAAAATGAGAACCTTGTGAACATCTTTGGCACTAAAGATACACTAATTGTTCGTAGTCCATCAGAAGAAATTGTCCACGCATCAATTGCTTCAACTTGGGTCAAGTCTTGATTTTATTCCTACCCTAATGATGACATGCTTGGGCCAATTAGCTCCACCATGCATCCGCTCTATGCATTAACTTGTGAGGGCAATACTTAACTTATTTCTCTTAAGGAATATACATGTATTTGAAGAAATCTTCCACCTATGGTCCCAATCGAGATAGTCCTCCACATAAAGGTGGAGTCAAAATATGAAATATTGATTTGAACTTTGAATGCGTTGTAGTTGCGGTCTTGTAGGGTGAGATGAGGTGGGAACAAGTTTACAAAAAGGGCATAAATCTAAAACGAAAAACATTTATCTCATTACGAACGGTTATCCACATGAATCATTTTTATCCATTATCATATTAAGAGTCAAACAATAATAACCATTCTAAAAAAAGGTATATTACATTTGATATGGTATGAAACAACAATCTGATTAAGATTATATAGTTTATCTTCGAATCGATGAAGCCCTGCGTGCCAATCAATTGGATCCATGAAGATGCCATAGATCTCCATTAGTCATTGCGTTGTTGACAATTACTAGTATGGGTGCTAGATTTGCCAGTATGTTTGTCAAATTGGGAAGATCGCCATTTCTAAAGTGTTGAAGCTATAAAGCCAAACCTCCCGAAAAAGATGTTGAAAACCATTGCTAAGAGTATCCAACTTAAGCTCAAGGGTAGAGCGAGATTTCCAGAGGGAGATTCAGCTACAATCACCATTGCCAATCAAATCGAGATATTGCGGCCATAAGGATCAACACGAAGAAGACGAAGCAAAAACAACAAAAAGGTAGCGGTCTATGGCAGATAATATTTTTTGATAAAAAGCTAAATAATCATCATAATCAGTTGTGGCCTATTATCCCCTTTAACCACTATAGACAAACAACAAATGGAAAATCTAATACTAACTTGATGTATAATTTAGTAACTAAGGACAATAAAAAGCTGCGGAAAAAAAAAATAGGAAAATAGAGTTATAGGTCGGTAGAGTTTGGTGATCAGAAACAACTACATGACATTTCAAATGCAACTACTAAAAATATTCTGGCCAAGCTCACAATGAATGAAAATGATTTCATGAAATCGTAGAGATTTTCTTCCCTCAAAGTCTAATTAAGACGATCCGAATTTGGAGCAGAAGTCCAATCAAATAGAGCATGATCAGAGATGCGGTAGTAAAGAGGCAACACGAGAAAAGACTTCTAGAACTAGCAAAAATCTTCATACAGTTAGTACAAATTACTAAAAGAAAATTCTGTAATTACAATCAAATGATTGTGCATATATGTTTTAATCCAATCGGGAACTGCAGTTGAAAGTTTGAAAAATACAAGAAGACGATCTCATATCAAACATAACTCGGTAGGGAGAACAAGCAAGCTTCATATATATATATATAAAGTTACTACTATTGTTGCAAATTTTAGACCGCACAAGCTAGAACTATGGCAATGCTTACCAGCTACTTGGGATTACTTTTCTTCTTCAGCATATTACCAAATTTTTGTAGCAATGCCTTCTTTTTCTTTTGTTGTTGTTGCTGCTGCTTGTCTAGGGACGTGTTGTTGCCATTATTAGCATTCTCTTCATTGACATAATAAAGGTTGTTGTTTACGATCTTTGACTCAGGCTCATCATCCACTGATTCAGTATTGTCTTCCCTCTCCGAAGAAAGTTGCTTATCAATGGCTCTAATTTTATCAGCTTCAAAAAGCTTGACATCCATCTTTACAGACTCCTCTTCCTCAGAATTTCCAAGTCCATTATGATTTTCCTCAGTATTACCATTGGCATCATCAATCTCCACTACTTTTGTATCCTTCCTGAGGATTTCTTCACCTTTGTTAGGAATTCCTGATTCTTCTGTTTTGGTTTCAGTTTGCTCTTGCATGTCAACTGTGGGCAGTGGAAGTAAATCAAATTCTGCGTGACTCTCTGACAGTTCTCCGTTTTCCCCATTTTCCCTGTTTCCTCTTACATCACCATTTTCGTTACTCTTACTGGTTCTTAACTCAGTAAGCAATTCAGAAAGCTCTTTAATTTTTTCCAAAGCGGCAGCTTCACGGATCTGGAGTTCATCGTTCTCCTGAGTTATGTTCTGAAGTTCATTCTCTTTATCCAGCAACCTTTCTTTCAAGTTTGAAGTCTCAGCCATCACCTCTTCCATGGATTTTTTGGTAGCAACTAACTCTTTTTCAACTAGCCTCATTTTATCTTGAAGCTTACACGCCTCTTCCTCTGCTAGTTTTACTTCATCCTTCTGTCTCTCGAATGCCTCAACAGCATTGTCCTTATGTAGTTTGATGGAAGCAATTTCTTCCTCTGATTTCTGAATGACAGAGATTAGAGTATGCTCCTTCAGATCCCATTCAATTCTCAACTCTTTCGTTTCTTTTTCAGATTTCTCAATGTTTTTTTTAAGACAAACAATCTCATGTTTGGCTTCATCAAGAATTTGCTCATGCTTTTCTTGTTCATTTTTTAGGGCTGATTTCAATTCCTCTGCCTCAGCAGAGGCAATGTCAAGCTGGCCTTGCTTAATCAAAAGCCTTTCTTGAGTGTCCCTGGATTCCATAGATAATTCATGCAATGCAGAAGCCAAGCTTTCCATAGACTTCTTAGCTTTGCCTAATTCCTCTTTAGTGATCTCCAGCTCAACTGCAAGCTTGTTATTTTCTTGGGTAAGGCTTTCTACATTAAAACATGCAATTTTCTCGTTGTTCAGTGCGTTTTCCTTCTCCTCCTCCGCTTTTTGGATCTCAAACTTTATCAATTCAGCTTTCTTTTCCATATTCAAAATTTCCTGCTTTGCCAAATCAAGTCTTTGATCCGATTCTTTAAGATCTTCATTATGCCTGGCTACCTCAAGCTCCAAACCTTCAACCTTGACATTGAGAGATTCAATTTCGGATTTGGCATCATTACACACAACCTCCTTTTCTTCTAGCTGCTTCATCACCAAAGCAAGTGAATAATTCACCGTGCTTTCAGAAATACTGGCTTCCTCCAACTGAGATTCTAAAAGCTCTAACTTCTTCTTCTGCTCATCTACAAGATAAAGTGCATTTGATTCAGCTATCTTTGCATTTAATGCCTGAACCTTCAGCATTTCAACTAATGCTTCCACATCAACCAGCTTCTCCTCAGCATCCTTTGCCTTTCTAAGTTCAATCTTCAAAACCTCAGCCTCAGAATCAAACTTATTGATCATCTCTGCCATCTCCTTGGAATGGCTTTCATGCTCAGACTCGAGCAAGGATTTAAGATGGCTGACTTCTCCAGATAGCATTTCCATCTTCTCTAGATTGATCTCAGCAATCTTCATAGCATCATCAGCATGGCCTAGTGCGCTATTCTTTGCCTCAGTAGTCATCAGCAGCTCTTGCTTCACCCTCTGAAGCTCTTGCGTTGCAGAAAGCAGTGCTGCAACATCAAAAGCATGCTGATTTCTGACATTTCCAAGCTCTTCCAGCCATTCTTCCTCCCTCTTCTGAGCAGCTTCAATTGCTGATTGCTCTACTTCATCAGCACGGAACTTGTCAAGTTCTGAACTCTCCTCAGCAAGCTTCTGAGAAAGGAGAGCGTCCTCCACCTTCTCATTTGCCTCCTGCACTGCCTTTTTTGCTTCCTTCAGCTCTTCAAGAGCTCGAGCCTTCTCCTTCTCTTCAAAATCCAATTTTTCCTTCACCTTCTTCAGGTCTTCCTGCACTAGAGTAAGTTGTGCCTGGAGCTCCGATCCCCTCAATGGCCGTGGATGCTTCTGCGAATCAGAAATCACCAAGCACAGTGAAAAAGGATAAAAAAAACCCCTAAAAAATTTGGTGCTTCGCTTACATCGGGAGGAGTGCTGATCCCGAGCGAGCGGCGATCAGCAGTAGACTTCGAATTAACCGATCTCGGTGACCGTTCGACTGAAGGACGTGGGTTTTGCAGCGGAGAAGGCGAATTAGGCTCCACCTTGGCAGATCCCGGCCTCCCAATTTTACTAACCCTAGGGGTTGCGGGTGTGCTTTTGTTACTAGACGAATCTGACATGCTAGATCTTCACAAGATCAATGTATCAGATTCCACACATGCCCAGATTTAAATCAAATGACACTTCCAGTATCAATGCAAAGAAGTTTAAAGACACTTTTAATCACAATTTAAATTCCGAATTGCTTACCAATCAGAACAATGCAGTAGAAAAATCCAATAAAGAGATGAAAAAAATACAATAGGTGCTCAATCCAAAATAAAATGAACGCACAAAAGAAAGCCAACCTAAACGTCGTTGGTGCTTTAAATCAAACACAAAGTACGTTGAATGCCCAATGCTAAAAAGAAACAGAAATCAAAGCACATTTCATTAAAGCAACAGAGAAATCGAAGCGCGACCATAAAGAACAATTATCACCAGATCTAGAGAAGAGAGTGCTGTTGTTACTTGGATTTTGATGTGAGCATTGCTTCTTCTTCTTCGATCGGGCACTGATTGTTGCAGAAGCAGACGTTGATGTGGCTGGTAGAGAAAATGAGAGAGCTCACAGAGCAAAGCAGCGACTCTTCAGAATTGAGACACAGAAGCAGAAAAATAAAGAAGTTAAGTTGTCAAATTGAAGGCTCCATGCCGAGAGGTTGCAGAAGGAGATATACCATCGCCATTGTGGCCTCTCTCACTCTCTCTCTCTTGTGGTCGTTTTTTTTCCAGGGGAGGGTAGAAAGGAGAAAAGGTTTATAGATAGTGACGGAAATAGCCTCGCTTTTTGGTAAAGCGGGAGCCATGGCAGCCTTACGGTTTAGCTTTATTTCCGTTTTACCCCAAATTATTGATGACTATTACGAGCGTGCCCTCAAGTCTCTCCTCCCATCCTTCATTATTTATTTAGGCGAGTAAGATGTTTTTTAATTATCCTCTTAGAGAAAAAGAAAGGCCCATCGACGTCTTACAAAATTTCAGCTGAGTGGACATCACAAAACAACGTAGAACGCAAGTCATTATTATTTTGATTTCTTTTGTTAGATTATTTCAAAAAACAAAAACTTTACGATTATGCATCGTCGCTTCATTAAAGCTTTGAAGAAAACTTCAGGTGATGTAAAGTCATCATCAAAGCATCTATTCAATGATGTTGGACCTTTTTTTTTTCCTACGGGCAAATTTATAAAGAGAAGTATGTTTTTAATTTAATTAAATAAAAAATACATTTAAGAGATAATTTAAAAAAGAATAAATACGTAAAATAAAATTTCATATTATATAAAAATATTTTTTGACTTCTCGCTTTCTTAGAATGCAGAATGCAGATAATGATGTAGTGGATCGTCGGAAGACTCGACCTGCAAAAAGGATTTTTGGCTCCCAATCCAGGGAAGAAGAGAAACAAGCGTCAAAAGCTTCAAAGAGTATATTATATCATTCAATGGTTTTCCCTACTACAATGCATACATATATAACCCATCTATAGAATATTTTAGAGAAACTTGTAACAAACTAGATAAGCTATTCCTAAGGAGAACTATTAGCTATAATGTTCCACATCAGAAAATAGTTTTTCACATCAATAGAATATGAAAATTAGATTTTCGTATTGAATTAAAGAAAAATGTGAAAACATATTTTGATTTCTCTGAATACAAAAAATAGTTACCCACGTAATGTGGAAAATAGATTTCTGCAAATTCTAAAAATTATTTTTCATATTATGCGAATTATATTATATTTTTTTATTATTTAACAAATGATGAATTAAGAAATTGACTACAAATATTTCTAATATTATAAAAAAATAAATTTATAAAAGGGTGTTATTGGTAGTTAACTAATCTTGAGTCATATATTATTATTTTTATATTATTAGCAAAATGAACTCTTGCATTAAAGAAATACATTAAAATGTTTTTTTGATTTCTTAGAATAGGGAAAATAGTTTTACACATTCAATAAAATGAGGAAAATAGGATTCTGCATTCAATTAAAGGAATACATGAAAATATATTTTGATTTCTCCGAATATAGAAAACAATTTTCCACGTAATGTGGAAAATAGATTTCCGCATTCTATTGAATGTGGAAAATTATTTTTCGCATTCTGTTAATTATATTATATTTATTTAATTTTTAAAAATGATCAATTAGAAATTGATTACACATATTCCTATATATTATAAGAAAAAATTTTATCAAAGTATATTATTAGGTTGTAAATTTAAATTTAATAGAGAAAGTTTTATATAAACCTAATGTTAGATAGTTTACTAATTCTAAAAAATTAGATGAACAAAAGTAATTTGGATATTAAAATATTGACGTCATATATTACTTATAATGACTTAATGATAAAATTATATTTAAATTATATTAATAAGTAGTAATATTAATAATAGTGTTTAAAATAAAACTAGCTTAAAATTTATCCTTATTTTTTATGGAAGAACATAATCATGATGGATTATCATTTGATATTTAAAAATTTCAAAGGCATTAAAATTAAATAGTGTGTGTATATATATAACATACAAGGTTAGTTTTAGAATAAATAAATATAAATATAAGTAGTTACATAATATTTTTATTTAGCGTGAATAGCACTTAGAATTAAAAAAAATTAACATAAAATTTCGATACAAACAGAATGCGAAAAATTATTTTCCGCATTTTAAGAAACCATTTTTTTTCACGTATTATTTTAATGCGAAAATTAATTTTATTTGCTTCTTTTTAAAATATCTGTCAAACCTGCTTCTTCTGTTTAATTTAATTAAAAACCTGCTCATTTTTATAAATTTACCTTTTCTATAATGTATATAGAAATCATAACACTACTGATTCATAAAAAGTAAAAAGTTTGTTCCAATCAGAATGGTTCTCTTTTAAATAATAATAATAATATTTAGAAAAAATATGAGGATAAAAAGAAATATTCGAGTGAGTGAAAATAAATACGAATACTTTTATGACTAAAAATATTTTTTTAATTAATTTCATGCACATAATGCACGTAAAAATAATATAAATGCAAGAGATACTTAATTGAATGAATGATGACCATAGGCATGAAATTATTAATTAATTATTATTATTTTTTTAATTTGGCTCAAAAAAGTGTGCCTAAGATACATCATTATTTGGTTGAATTAAAGATTTGAATTAGGTAAATAGATTCCAATCTACTCAACCAATTGCAATGGTAAGCTGTCCTCATATGTAACTCATAAAATAATATAAATATTAATATAAAATAAAATAAATCTTAATCAAGCGCAAAGCAGTTCTTAACTTCTAGACTAAGGCTTTGTTTGGAACAGCTTTTTTGCTACTTTCTAAAACAACTTTTTTACTGCTTCTTAAAGCAGCTTTCTAGTACAAAAATTTTAGCTGCTTTAAGAAGCAATAAGAAAGCCATCCCAAACGAAGCCTAAGTCTTCATTTGAGAGAGCTTTTTTATTGCTTTCTAAAACAGCTTTTTGGTGCAAATATTTATTTATTTTTTTCTTGAGAAAATTTGGGGCCTTAGCCTATATCATTAAGAAATGAAAAAGTTAAAGCAAATATTCATACTTTAAGAAACTTTGTACTAAAAAATTGCTTTAAAAAATAGTAAAAAAAAACTATCACAAATGAAAGCAAGGCCAAAATTTGATTTTAATTGTTGAGAGGTTCTTCAATGAAAAAAAAAAAACTCAACAAGCTACCATCCTTTGTCAAATTATGTCCACTAGATTATCTAGCTCATTTTATAATAAAAAAGACATTCTAAAATCAAGGGAACTTTTTAACAAATTCATCAAAAATATATAAGATGGAAGTGCATAATGTGAATCAATCTCTTATACTTAGGAAGCCAAAATTTATATTTTGATGCCATCACTACCAAAAGTAGCAATAAAAAATTTAAGCATAAAGCATAAGCGCCTTAAAGATTATGATACTACGTAACACAATTTGATCTATTAGTTTAGAATTTTGGCTATTAATAAAGAGGTATATGGTTCGAGTCTAACGTATGTGATGTCTGTATGAGTTTGCCTCGATTGACCTAAATATCCAACCAACCCCTCCATCCGAAAAAAAAATAAAAAAGGATCATAATACTTGAGAATTTAATTGCTTAAATTTGCTAAACGTTACACTTCGTTGAAACTTGAAGAATAGTTTAAGCAATTGTTACCCATTAACCACTTTAATATTTGTCACTTTCATGCTAAATGAGCCAACCACAATTAATATTTGCACGATCTATGAATACTTAGGTTAATAATTTTAATTCCAGGATCTAAACTTGCAAAATAATCAGTAATTAAGGTCAAAATGAGTCTAATTTAAAATCAACAAGCCACTAATGAGTCAAATTAATTAACATTAAACTTGATTTAAACCATTTCTAATGAAAATGAAAAAGTTTTAGAAATGATTAGATAAGGCGACTTCAATATTCAAAATGAACTTCAAATTTTTTATTTTGTGCTGAGATTAATAGTATTTCCAATGTAATAACATAAATATGTGAAATATTTTTTTTTTTTTGAAAAATATAAAAATTTTGAAGTACAGCGCTTTGGTGCTGATCTGGTGTGCAATGTGGTGCTAGACCATGAACATTGATATTTGTCAGTCATTCATGTTACATATTTTATTCTCTTACTTTTATTTTCAATGATTTTGATTTATACAGATTTTATTTCTACTAAATTTGTCAAAAATGTAATCATGTTTTTTTCCGTTGTTTATCAATAAACTCTAGTTAAATGGTTAAAATAAAAGTCTAATGTAATTTTTCCAATTTCGATCATAGTCTGTGACATCCAACACCCCATTAATTGCAACATAAATTCAAAAAAATTTACACCTCTCTTCTTGCATGCATCAGCCTCCTCTCGCGTGTGTCACTTCCTTTGGCTTGAGATATGTTTTTCTACTGTTATTCTTGAAGCTCACCACCGCAAGCCTAAAAATAGTTTTTTCCTACTACATTGCCTTCATTACCGACCATCCCTTGTGGCTGCTATACTATCTATAATCAATGCAGCCTTTATTATTACCATGTCTAATATGGCCTTCATTGTTACCATTTGCAACTGCAATGTCCTTGAACCTAATTTCTCCAAAAATTTTGACTAAATGGAGGACTCTATAGTGCACAAATGTATTTGATAACTCTACTTTTCCGAAACTAATTACCAAATTGAGAACGACAAATCTTTATTCACTAAGTTGAGAGGGAGTGCTAAATCTCAGTCATCCCTTGACACTTGATGCCAAAAGTCAACATAGGTATCCATAACAGGCTCACCTAGATCACGATGTTAACTTTTTGTCATCCCTTGGGCATTTTGATCTCATGGATAGGATGGGGATCTGTGGGAGACTCACCTGGATTATGCCAATCTCCTTCCATATTTAATTAGTTGATTTAGAAAGAATTATATTATGATTTTATAATTATTTCTTTCTTTATTAGCATATATATATGAATAAATTTGAGCAATAAAATTAAAATTTTTTTCCGCACCTTCTGTACGCTTTCTGTTCATTCAAAAGCAAGGTCGACGACTACCACTATTTTCAGCCATCCCCCTTATCTGTGTGGTGAAAAGTCGGTTGAGCAAAACCTAGATTCCTAACTCGAATTCTTTTACAATAGTAAAAGT